TTATGGCTGGAAGACTGAATGTTAGCTTCTTGGCTGGCCCAGCTTGTATAAATGCGGGGTATGCATTGTCTTCAACAATCTCCACAAACCATGGCGACCCCTCGCCCTCGCTCTCGGTCCTCGCGGTGCATCTCGGCGTTCTGGTGGGATTTGTCGGACAAACGGAGAAAAACTCGGAACAATGCACGGCAGTGCGGCCCAACCAAGTAGTCGCGACCGACCAATACAGGCCACAGGAGAGATCCAGACCTTCGCACCCCGTGGAATAGGCGGTAATCTATCAAGCCATTTGGGTTATTGGATTTCTACACCAGATCCGACCACAAGGATACGCCCCCCACCCGCTCCACGACATCGAAGCAGGCAAGTGTTTTATCTTTGCGAGATCAATGTGGATGCCTTTTCCTCCACACGCTGGATGCATTACCAGGCAAGGCCGGCGGCAACGCATGTTAGTTTCGATATACTTCGGACGTAAGGATGCGATGGTGGCAGCGGAAATCTGGTCGCACCTGCAGGAAGAAACCTCAGAGCGAGAGAGAAATAGCAGAAACAGAAGACAGAATTCTCGCCGGGGGTCGTGTGCATCCAGTACCGTACGCATGTATATGACGCAAAGAAAGCACACTCCTGGTGATGAAATTTTGGAGTTGAAACAAGTTGAAAATTAAAAAAACGGATCATCGGGTGTGCGTTCCTGGCATGCATGTGCTATCTCGTGTCACCCGTGTGATAAAGTGCACATCCAAGGAGCCCGCAATCAGGGGATGTGATAAGGCCAAGGGGGTGCGATACAAAGGATGTGTGATGACATATGTATGTACCTGCTCCAACATTCCCTGAAGGGGTGTGATGTTAGAAGGGGGGTGTGATAACACTCGGCAGACTCTTGTTTTGCAGCAACCGACGATTTGCGCTGGCCTCGGCGGACGCTGTTGAGCGGGCTTTCGCAGCATGGCAGCATTTGCGATGGCAGGTGCTGATGATGGAGTCTTATCGTTTGGCTTGGCGGTGGGTTGCTTCGAGAAAAAGTGATGTGATCGCCCGTGGAGGCGCCGACGCAGACGTTGATGGAACCGTCTGAGCGACGTCAGGAGGATTGTCCACCTCCTCCGCCTCCGTATTGTCCTTGTTTGGGTGCACACCAGCTTTGTGCCTCTGTTCGTATGTGCACGTCGGGCTGTGCACATCCGTGCCGTCGGACCGGTCTTTATGGTGACAGTATCTTGGAAATCATCTTGCCAAGAAATGTTCAGAGTTTTTGTTCGCCAAACGCCACGGTGTGATGAACACTGAGCACGACGCAGTCCTAGAAGGCGCGGTCCCTCCCATAGCTGCATAGGCTTAACCCCACGGGTGGGTTGTAGACGTGGGCGCGCACATGGGGTGCAGCAAGAGAGGACGTTGCCTCGGTATTATTCAGGCGGAGAAACAAAACTGTTCCGTTGGTGTCCAACGGCAAAGAATGTCCATCAACCCGAGAAGCAATGACAACCGTGCACGTATCTCATAACGAGTAGGCGTACCGAGGTCAAACTTTCTTTGCCGTCATCTGCACTCACGGATCTGTTTGGAGTGCATACGGCTTGGGTCTGGGTCAAGAGATAAATATCGCTCACGACTAAGCTGTTGTGGAAAAGCATTCAGCCGGCTCTTTTACCCACTTGAAAATATAGTGCGCTTCGAACGGTCCCTCCACAGACGGAACAACAGTTCGTGTCAACAGCGATGCTTTTCATCTCTGATAATAAAAGCTCCCCACAACCAACTCACTTGCGTGTGAGAGAGAACGGTTAGTGGAGGTGGCAGCATGAAAGGTTTGGCCTCGATGCGGCAACTACGGAGTCAGAGATGTGAATGGGTGCTGTCCGCTCGCAAGTTGGAAGTTGTGTGCTCTTGGTTGATGACGCACGCGGCCCAAGCCAGGGTGCCTTAGAGGCCCTTGGGAATGTGCCACGTGCAGATTTCATAGCGTTATGGGCGACAAGGTTGACTGACCTGTGGTAGTCTCGCCGCACCCACCAAGATAAACCTAGCCGCGCCAAGATATGTCCACCAAGGTCGATGGGAACTATCTTTGGCCAAGATTTTTCGAAAGGGCAAGTTTTGGCCCCCGCACAAATCTTGGCCAAGATTTTTTCAAAGATTTGTGCCCCATAAATCATGAAACTGAATTATCTTTGGCCCAAGATCATGATAATTTCCAACAAGTGCCACCATAAAGACCGGTCTCAGCCACCAGCCGCCGGGTGTGATAGTGGGGGCTCCGTGATTGGAAACGCGGCGTAACTGTAGGGGGGTGTTATCTGGTGTCACCGGTGTGATAAATTGGCGTCTTTTTTTAGCCCCAAAAAACCACACCGGGTGTGCTTTCCTGGAGAGAGAGGTGTGTTGGGGGTGTACTATCTTCTGTAAGTGTGCTATCTTGTGTCACTTACGGAGTAGTCGTCCCTCGGTTGATGACACACATGTTTTTTCGTTGCTGTCTTCACCCTCCTGGTACTGGAAGCCCAAATGGGGACACTTCGGGACATAGCACTCAAATGCCTATTTACCGCACTTGTAGTCACCCTAGGCTCCGCTGTGTGCAACGCACGTGAGAACCCTTGGTCTATCATGCTTGGCTGAGGTGGTGCGCTGTGTTATTTGCTGTGTGATGCCTTTCCTGGGCCTCTGACTTGCTGTGCACATGTCCCAACCCGCGTGCCCCCTAGGTCGTAAAACTGTACATCGCCTGGTACTGGAAAAAATTGCTGACTTGGCTTCAGTATGAAAGTTTTCCCACGTGTTTTGGGGACACTTTTCATGCTGAAGCCAAGTCACCCTTCGTCTGGCAAGGAGCTCGGATTCTTTGGAGGGACTGTAGCGTCTCGACCACTGACTGACACACATTTTTGCGACGTTTTTTTTTTTTCCCGGAGGAACTGCGTGGTGCGTACTAGGAGAGTTACACCCGGGTTGCAAGCAGGTCACACAGAGATAAAAAAAAAGACAAGTAACCAGAAACGGGTATAACTGGGTGGATTATCACCATTTCAGGGTACACTTGGAAATCAACCCGTCACCAATCTCCGACAGCGTCCGCCGTAGATCGCGGCGAAACCAATAAACCGCTTTCTGTGTCCTGTGTCCTGTGCCTCGTAAGCATGATGCACGAGGCAGGTCGTGCCCGTTTTTCTCTCTCTCTGTGCCTCTCTCTCTCTCCCTCTCTGTCTGTGCTTTTACTGATCAGTACCACACCGACGTACTCGCGCGTCAAGCGAGTCCGACCCTCTGTTGAGAGGGGCCGGTATCCAATGGAGGCGGTGCCCATGAACGAGGAACGAGCGAGCGTTGTTGGTGATTTGGTTGTGGTTATGTATGTGCGGTATACGGTATGTGCAGTACACGGTTTTGTCTGCGGGTTTAATGCTAGAGCGTCGGGCGCCGGGATTATATGACCACTTCTGGGTACAAAATCGACCTCTTCCGGGTACACCAGTAACCAATGTCGGCCACACCAGAGGGTCCTACTTTCAGTGGAAGTTGTACCCGATGGAGGTTTCTTCAGAAGTGGGTACAACGGTTTTTCGGCGAATCAGCTGACAGCCTGGGGCGTTTTGATTTCTAACTGTACCCTAGAGTGGTGATAAAGTGCCTGGGTATACAACCCGTTTCTGGTTATTGGTAAAAAAAAAACATGACACAGGGGCTCCACGAAAATCGATGGCACCCAGCTTTAGCCCCCATGATGTGGTGCCCCGCGACACCATCGGGTGCACACCTTTGTCACCGCTGGTACTCCCCGCGCAGATGGCTGCGGGCTATGAAATCAGCAGGATACCTCAATGCATGTCATGTTCTATTCGCGCGGCCATTTGCTTTGCCCTGGTTTCGATCTTAACCTGGCAAATACCGTGCGATCAAAAATGAAAGAGCTGCTGCTTCATACCCATTCCGCAGCTGTCAGCATCAAGCTGCATGCTGCTCTCCACCTGCGAAGGAGTTGACGAACTCGCTTGAGACTTCGGTAGAGTGGTTTACATAGGCATAGGTAGCATGGAGGGATTGACGCAATTGTGGATAGCCACTGCGAGGGTCGTTCCAGTGAAGAACTCTATCGCCTATATCGACCAAACACGCCCGATGAGTCTACCTGGCACACCCATACGTAGGGCAAAAATTATGTTGGACCGGAAAAACAAAAAAAAGTCATCAATGTTTCAGAGGACTAGAGCCGGGTAGATGCCGTCCTCCCACCGATCACGTGTCAACTATGTAGGACATTATGTAGGACAGAGACAGATGATTGGGCGATGGCCACGCCGCCGAGCGGGAATCCCCCGAAGGACGTAGCACAGCAGCAGCAGCACATGATACACGTAAACAACACACGAGATAACCAGCACAGCAGCACACGAGACTACTGTGGACCAAGGGCAGCCAAAGGCACACATACTAGAAGGTCTGGTTCGACTGTCAGAGCCGGTTGGCTGCTGTCGGCAGCACCACAAGCGAGGGAGGCGACAAAAGTAAATCCGCTGCTGCTGCTGCTGCTGCTGCTGCTGCTGCTGCTGCTTGCTGCAGGCCGATCTTTTGAGCTTTCTACACAGTGGTGCATCCCTAACAACCCTAACCCAATGAGACGTACAAACGGCAGCAGGCCAAGGCGGCCAAAGGAATTCATCGTGCAAAGCATCGAGAGCGATTTTTGAAGCCCGTTGCCTGCTGCCAGCATCGTAAAAGCGAGTGAACCAAGTGCACACAAGTCAATCAATCTATCTGCAGGCCAATCCTCTCTTGATCCACAACAGACCCTTTCCCGAAACAAGAGAGACAATGAGATGTAGACTACACACACACGCTGCCGGCCAAGGCGACCAAATACACACATACATAGAGGGTGTCGGGGGCGAGTTTTTGAGCCCGCTGCCGCTGCTACGAGCGTAAGTGGTGCACATCCACACAGCGACAGCAGCAGCACAGCAGTAGCAGCAGCAGCAGCAGCAGCAGCAGCAGCAGCAGCTACCTGATGATGATGATTCATGAGAGCTTCGTCCACACCACACAACACTTTCATCACTCTTCCCCGCGCTGCTACAGCAGCAGTCCTGCGTACATGGCTGACTGGTAGTGTTGGGTGAGGTTTGAGCGTGTGCAATAGCAGTGTGGTGGCCTCTCTGTGAGGCTCCATTCATATCTATATCTACGCCTGCGTCTCTTTCTCCGACTGTTCTTTTTCGCGCTTCGTGCATATTAATTCAATTATTTTTCTTGGACCCCACTGTATGGGAGTGGAGCCGGCTACCTCCAGTTCTGTTTAACGTTCCCGTGCAAGATCCCCCGCGCAACTTGACCTCAAACGCTCTATTTACGTTCGATCTGAACCAATTTTTTTATGGCACCATGCTAAGAGACATGCCTGAGGTTGCTTTAGAGGGTTAGCAGCATTTTTGATCGCCACTACAGCAGGAGTTGTTGATAAATAACGGGCTGTCCCATAGGAATACGGCCGCTGTGGCGGCTCCGCGTGATAGATGCCTCGCGTAACGAAGAAAAAAGGCGAAATATAGGTTTTTGTGAGGACTTGCAACCGGGTGTGACCAAGGCTCTTAACAGGAGGACCAGTCTGCAGTACCACCGGCGCATGTTGATCCATTTGCCGGTGTAGCTGTAGCAGTTTGAGCACTTGGTAAAGGTCATGTATATCACAAGGGGAAAGACAACGCCATCTCGCATTACGGTCGCGGTCTGTGTACCTACGGCAGGTGTAGGGGGCGTTGGGAGACCTTCGTCTGGGGAAACGTGGTGCCTTGCGATGTCTGGTGTTCTCTACCATCTGTGCAATACAAAAAGCACGGCAGACATACCCGACCATATCTGTGGACCCACGAACAAACCGCACGTCTCGGAGTTTTCGCACGGGGGTGGGTGTGCAGCGACAGACCCGCACTGCAGTACGTATACTGATGGAAGGGTTACATGTTTACTCGGTTTCGCACGCTTTGGGCTTATCGCACGCCCGGTGGGATGAACGCTAGACTTCGAAAGGATTGAACTCCATTATCGCACGGGGATCCGTGATAGACCGTTTCGGAAATATTTTTTTGGGTCAGATAAATGGCCCAGACAAACCGAGGGTCAGATTGTTTATATTTGGCCAGTGAAGCGACTTTTTATTGTCTGGGACGGCAAGGGTGTGCGAGAAAAGCTGTCCCGCACACCTAGGTATCCCCCCCCCCGGGAAGGCCAAATTTTATGAAGAATATATATTTTTTCCCTCACTTTTTCTCTTGTTTTTGTTGCCCGTATCCTCAACATTGATGCGCATATAGTCTAATAGTGTTGGTCCAACATTAAACCCTGTTTGACTGCTCGCTATACTGACACTACAGCTGAAAGAAACGGCGGAGGCCTCCTCCTCCTCCTCCTCCTCCTCCTCTTCCTCCTCTTCTCCCCCCTGCCCCCCTCCCTCTTTCTCGCTGTCCTCTACCCCTCCCTCTTCTTCACTTGCCCCTCCCTCTTCGCTCGACTCCGAGTCTGCTGTTACTGCAAATGTGGGCCGGGAACGTTTGTGACTAGTCTTGCGCCGTGCACGAGCGACAGACGTCCTGGCCCCCGGACCCTTCTTAAGCTTTGCCATCACGTGGGATTTCTCTTTGTACACAGTCGCTGCAGCCAATCCTGCTGCTGGAAAGACACCTGGGCTAGGCCTACGCCCCCCCCTGAGGGTGCGCTGATCATGTTCTCCCTCTTGCCTAGCTGGCATGGGCCCGTGCTCGCGTGCTGGCGCTTGGCGCACATGGCTAAGGGGCACGTAGATGCACTTTGGTTCGCCTACAGAGCACACGGTGCCCCTTTATATAGGGATGAGTATCCTATGGTTTCATGTGGGATTTCGTATAGCATTTTGTGGGGTGGGGGGGGGGCTTCGTTCCCCCCCCCCCCCCCCCCCCCCCCCCCCAAATACTCCAAAAGAAAGTGAGCACCTAGGTGTGCAAAAAAGTTTTTCTGCACACCCTTGGGGACGGCCACACTTTTCACCCGCGGCTCAGACAAACACCTCTCACCACCCTCACTTCATCTGAAGCGTGGGTTCCTCTCCAGTTGGTGCAGATTCTTGGCAACAGCGTGGGTTCCTCTTCAGTTGGTACAGATTTTTTAGTAAATCATAAAAAGATTGCATCGCAGGGTACAGACTCGTCCGAGCCTGATGTCACCACTAGATCGACAAGACCTGCTGCTCCTCCGATGCGGGCGGTGTGATCTAATGTGTAGGTATGTATGTGGTGATAGCTGCGGAAGGAACCGACAAGCAAGGGTAGGATGAGACAAGGTTCACTAGCCTCAAAATAGAGTTCTCGCTTACAACCAGTTCAGGACAACACCCAGACCATGAGCTGTAGGCTACTCGAACTGCTGGGAGGTGGCCCAAAAGTTGCCTTGTGTTACTCTTAATCGGCGCCACCTCCTCCACAAAGCTGTTGCGGCTTAGAATGCTGCTTAAAAAATCGCCGTGTGAGGGGTGATTGTTCTAGGTTGAAGCTGCTGTTGCTGCTGCTGCAGCAGCTGCTGCTGAACCGCAGCCTCTCGCTTGATTGAATCAGGACGCCACCTGAGCGGCTGAGAGTTTGCTTGCAAGAAGCCTTTACAGGGTGTTTCTCTGCGGTGACAACACCCCCGCTAGATGCTCCTGGCACCTTGGATGATAGATGACAGCAGCCAACCAAGCAAACCTATGTTCTTTCTTGGGTAGACAAACGGGAGAACAAGCGGCGTCGGGAACCGCGCGCGCGAGTCTTTGGCCAATCAGCGGGGGGCCGTTGACACGTCATGCCGAAAAAATATCTGAGCCTCTTTTCGAATTTGTTGGCTATTTTTGATATATTTCTGGGCAATTTTGTCCGACCACTTTGTCTGACCAAAACGAAACACTTTTCCGGAACTCCCCGATATCGCACCCCCGCGCAAAGAAAGTCGAGAACGATTTACCCCCGTGCGTTCTCACATCCGTTCGATATCTTGAAAGGGAGCGGTGGGCTCTGTGTATCGACCCCCCTTGTCCATCCCTTTTTGTACCTCTTTTGGGATAATCATGCACGCCCGTATGCATACATGCGTGATGACGTGAATGGACCCGCGTCTGGCACACGAACCCTTCGAGCTAGTTAATTTTCTATCAGTGCGAACTCGTGACGTCTTCAAGCGCCATGGACTAATGACGGACCAAATCCCACTAGAGCCAATTGTTTGGGATTTCAGCAGTACCGGCGAAAAGGAGCAAAATGGTGGCATGGAGGGGACCATATGTTGTACTAGGGAGGAAAGGGAATAAAGTAGAAAAATGTAAACGGAGGAAGAAAATACGGCGTGGAAGAGACAGAGAAAGTTGGCCTCGATTACCTTCCACACAGCAAACGCCGGAGGATGGAGAGCCGCTCAGAAGGCATGAACTTTTTTCGAGGAGAGTAGTGCACACAAGGTTAAAAATAGAGCAAAAATAGCAATCAACAGAGGGGGGCGAAACGAACACCATAACAAAGTAACAGCTTTGGTAGACACTTGCAGACTTATTTCTTCGCTTGCTACTGTTTCTGTTTTCCATCCGGAGAGCAGCTTAGCCTTCCCCATGACGCCCCCTCACGGGGTCCCAGATCATGACCTTTGCAAGATTTGAGCCGGACTGAGACTGGCGTTTTCATTAGTAAGCCGGTTGGCGAGGTCGATGCAAATATTCACGGCCGCAAGTTTGTGATGTGGGTCTGACGTTTTTTTCGAACACGTGTACGTGTAGAGGGAGCTATATGGAGCAAGGAGGACAGCGGTGTGACAGAGAGTGGGGCGACACTATCTATTCACATTTTTTTAGGCATTGGTTCAAGAAAGCTCGGTGCCCCGTGCATACCGGCGGAGACGACGACACCAAGCTAACAAATAAGAGGAGTGCAGAGGTATTAAAGCAACGACGAATCCAAGTGCGTCTTGTATTCGAGAGGAGCATTCCTCACCGCCAGAAGTGAGTTATAGAAAAGTGCGCCCGGTGTCTGCTAGTCGTGTAACAACCATGTATCTAGGTCCGTTACAGAAAGTGCCAGGCAAAAACGTGTCACTACCACTGACAAGTGCGTGACAAGTGTGGCGAAACAACTGAGATGAGCGCCCCGCGGCTAGGGAAAAAGGATTGAGGCACATGTCCATGGACCTAATGTCGGAGTTCGCTGACCGGTGGGTCCGGTGTCCGTTGGGTAGGCAACACGGAAGTGGACTGAGAAAAAGGCGCCATGAAAGGCACGGGACTACGCTCTACCTCTAACTTCCAAGTTCTGAGTACTGCGTTGTAAGAGCTCGGAGTTCCCACAAATCGCAGTGCTGTGAGACCCCGAGAGAAAATTCTGCTCAACGAGGAGCGGAAGACGATATGTAAACTCATGAGTGCAGCCGCCCCCCACCCCCACCGTTTCTCCCGCTCGCCCCCAGGCGAGAGCATGTTTCGGCCGCGAACGAGGCCTTTGATGGCGGCCCTGGTAGTCGACGAAGCCGGTGGTGAGCCACCTGTCCTCCCGGAAGCCCCGCCGTCTCCAACGAGGTGTTTCCGCTCGAGGAATCTCTGGCCGCGCGCGGACGCCGTTTACCGATCTACACCTTCGCGTCACAGTTCGCCGGGGAGCACGAGCCCGTGCTTTTCGATGGTGACGGAAACGACAATCAGATCCACGAGGCGCTTTCAGCAGAGCAAGTCGCTGACGTGGAATTTCTGCGCGGGTTGAACCTTCAAGGACTCGAGGCCGGTGGGGCGACTACCGCCCCACACCGGAGGTTCATGGTGTCTCCAGCAGCTGCAGCAGCCGGCGGAGGTAAAAAGTCAAGATACGACGAGGACAACCTACCAACCCCCGCCACGCTTGTCGCAGACCTCAAGGAGGCGAGAAATTTCAAGAGCGCCATCACCGACATGGATGACGACGGTAGTGGCGCCCCCTTGCCTTACCTGGGTTACCTGGTTTTCGCGTGCGCCGACGAGGTTCACGAGGACGACGAAAATCAGTACATTTTCGCGACTTCCCGAGGTTTAGCGGAGGCGATATCGGAGGAAGAATCTGAAGTAGTCGACGTGGAGGCCGATGAAGGTGACATGGGAGCTGAAGCGATAGCGGAGGTAGAATTTGAAGTAATCGACCCGGCGGCCGATGAAGGTGACATGGGAGCTGAAGCGACAGCGGAGGCAGAATTTGAACTAGACGACCCGGCGGCCGATCAAGGTGACTTGGGCGCTGAAGCGTATGGTGAGATCGCGTTGGGAAGCAGGGCACAGCTCACCGCCCTGAAGCAGCACGTGCTGAAGCGGCGAGTTTTCTATGTTCTGATACGTGCGGACCGAAGGCAATATGCTGACCCTGACGATGAGGATATGAGCTCTGACGTGATACTTCTGGCAATGGGGGTGTCGCCCGCGACCGGAAATCTTGTAGGTGTCATCGCAATCCAAGCATATCACAACTTGTGTGACTGAGCTGTATCGTAAGCCGGGATTCAGCTGAGCTTGGCCTTGTTATACCTTACTGACATGTTTGAGACGCTTGGTACAGAGAACTAACGCATCACAGATGCAAGCATTTTCCGGTTTTTCCAGTGTTTTGAGTTTATTTGTTGTTTGTCGTCGTTGGTCTATAGCCTGTTCTGACCTCTATCGAGGGCCTCCTTGCGACGAATCCCAATCCGCTAGAAGAAAATCTCCGTCGTTCACATGGCAAGCGGCATCAGATTTAACCCCCTACCCAACACACGAACGAAAACACCTCATCTACGTCCACTTCCGGCTCATCTTGGAGAGTGATTTGTATAGTGCCTGGGCTTCGACCATGTAAAACGTACACACCGCCAACTCTGGCTTCTCTCGGTCCTCTCGTCCTCAAGAGCGACTTTTGTTGTGATTCCCACCTTTCACATGCTTCCGTTCCTGGACTGAGGCACCTCGTGAGGTCAACCGTGGACTTGGTGTGCCAGCCAACAAGCACCAACCCCGTCCCCCAGACGGCCGTGTATTAAGCCCGCGTGAACCTCACATCAGCACCACGAGGTGGCTTCTAGTCTGAATGCTCCAAGAACGGCCAAATTTCGCCTGCCGCCTTATCAAGGCTGCCCTTACCGCGACCTGTACCTGCCGCTGCTCCTCGGTGTCCCCCATACCACTTGTACGCTCTCAGCCTACTCGCCGACCCTCCCATCTGTCTCGCGAAGAATCCATCGTCTTCGAACTCCCAGCTGAGGTCATTTCTCACCACTTGGCGGCATGTTGGCCTGTCTGGCCAATTGTCACCGCTCCATCAGCGACAACGACGACTGTGTGGACACCAGGTGTGATGGTGTCGTCGATGTCTGAAACCTCTGGATTACAGCTAGCACCTATGGTCGGCGTTTCTTGTCTCGTCGTTGAGTTTCGTCCTTCGGATTGAAACCTTCGGCTGTGGAGGGAGAATCCTCATTTGGCGAAGCCGTCCCGCTCTTGCTGCATTTCTTCTTGCTCCGCGGTTCCCTGTTTGCGGCCTACGCCACTTATTTATCGGGTGAGACTGTGTTGGTGATGTATTAACTTCACGAGAGGTAGACGACCGTCCTTCACACGGACGAAAGAGGGAGTGCTCAAAGAGCGGCTCCCACAGCAAGGAGGGGCCCCGTGAATCATCGCGGTGCCCCCTACCAAACGGCAATCTTACCAGTCTGCGTGACACCAAATCATCGAGCACATGTATCCAACACCGATGTTCGCAGACCCCCGAATATCCTCCCTGGTTCTTCACTCAAGTGACTAGTCATCAATGGGGCAAGAACGCCCCCGGATACATCAGAAAATACCAACATGGTAATATAGTGAGGGGAAACCCGGCGTCCGGGCAAAACCCCTCGAAAAAACCCCTGCCACCACAAAAACCGTCGCTATCACAGCGGATCACAACGGCCGCACTTACTAGAAAGGCCAAGGCGAAGACAAGAACGCGAGGAACTACGTTCCCCCGGACGATGGTCTCCCAACGCCCCCTACTCCTGCCATTGGGACACAGACCGCAACAGTGTGCCTTTCCCCGCATGGGAAACATGATGACCTCTCCCAAGTGATAGAAACTGCTACAGCTACTCCGGCAAATCCATCAACTTGCGCCGGTGGTACTACAGACTAGCCCTGCTAAGGGCCTTGGTTAGGAGGTCCGCGTGTTGCTCCGTTGTCGGAACGAACTTGACCGAAATATTCCCCGACCGAAACAATAAGCGGACGAAATGAAATCTCACGTCGATGTGTTTCGTGCGACCTGAGCTGAGAGGCTTCTGCACCAACGCTTTGGCCCCCTGGTTGTCCTCAAGGACCTGGATGCTGCTACCACTGGCCTCTGGGGCAACAAAGCACGGCACGCACAAACAACGCCTCCTTGACGCCCTCCCCGGCAGCGATGTACTCGGCTTCCGTCGAATACAGAGACACGATGCTCTGTGTCTTGCTACCATGGCTGACTACGGTACCTCCAACCGTCGTTGCCTACCCTGACACCGAACGCTTATCCTCCGTGTCGGCGTAGCTAGCGTCTACGNTCCCCGACCGAAACAATAAGCGGACGAAATGAAATCTCACGTCGATGTGTTTCGTGCGACCTGAGCTGAGAGGCTTCTGCACCAACGCTTTGGCCCCCTGGTTGTCCTCAAGGACCTGGATGCTGCTACCACTGGCCTCTGGGGCAACAAAGCACGGCACGCACAAACAACGCCTCCTTGACGCCCTCCCCGGCAGCGATGTACTCGGCTTCCGTCGAATACAGAGACACGATGCTCTGTGTCTTGCTACCATGGCTGACTACGGTACCTCCAACCGTCGTCGCCAACCCTGACACCGAACGCCTATCCTCCGTGTCGGCGTAGCTAGCGTCTACGTACACGGCCAGCCCTAACCCCGATCCCCGTTGGTAGGTGATGCCGAGGTCCCTCGTCCCTTTCAAGTAGAAGAGGATCTTCTGGATGGCATCCCAGTGCCTCTTCGCCGGGGCGTGGGCGTGGCGCGCTACCGCACGCACGGCGAACGAGACGTCTGGACGCGAGAAAGTCGACACCCACATCATGCTGCCGATGGCCTCCCTCACCGACCACTCCCCTCCCTTCTCATCATCTCGCTTCGGTCCTAGGTCGACACCAGGGGAAGCAGGGATGCGGGAGGTCGATTGTTCATCAAAGCGTATCAACATGCTATCAATGTACGCGGTTTGGGAGATTCTAAGAGTCCCAGCCTCTACATCTCTCTCGATGGCACACCCATCAAACCATTGACACTCTCCAAGGTATTTTGGTGGGAATTTCTTGTTTAGAGATGCAAGCAACTCCTCGCAATCCTCGTCAGACCCAGCCACCAAAAGGTCATCCACGTAGATCGCGATAATCATCACCACGACTTCGTCTACCATCTTTGCTTCGTCTACCATCTTGCGGAAAACACACGGGTCCACCTTGCACTGCTCGAACCCGTTCTCGACTAGCGTATCAGCAGCGTGGTACCCCCACTGCCTACCGCTCTGCTTCAGACCATAAATCGCACGCTCAGCCTTAGCAATCTTATGCGACTTGTCCCCGCACCCAGCGGGGAGCTTCAGAAAAACCTCCTCGTCTAGCGTAGCGTGTGTATACGCCTGCTTNACGCGCACCCAGCGGGGAGCCTCAGAAAAATCTCCTCGTCTAGCGCGGCGTGTGTGTACGCCTGCTTCACATCCCAGTGATTGAGGTTCAAGCCCTTCTCGTTTGCTACCGCTAGCATCAGCTTAATGGATGCGGATGATGGGCAAGGGGACGACAAATGGAAATAATCGACGTTCGGGATTTGCGAAAAACCCCTAGCAACCAGACGCGCTTTGAACATTTCTATCTTCCCTAACTTGTTGGTCTTCCAACTAAAACACCACGTTGAGCTCACGGGCCTGCGCCCCTCTGGCGCGCCGTCTACGAATGAAAACGTCCCCGTGCCCAAGTGC